AAACATAATATTAATAAAGCAACAATTGAAAAAAATATTTTTAATTGATGATGATTTGTGAATAAATGAGAATAGCTATAGGGAAGTTTTATTAATAAAATATAATATAAAAATTACCTTTTCTACAATCTTATGCTTGTAACTTTTTGATCTACTAAACCAATTAAACCGATCTTACTACTATTAGAATCACAAAGAATAGTACTACAATCTTAATAAAAAGTTTATAGAAAGTTAGCTTAACATAAAATTGACTTTATATTGTATGAAAAGGTGATTTTGGATTATAAGCTATTGACATTCCCATTTATTCATTTATTTGTGGATTACCTATAAAATCTAAATTTAATTACAGTATTAGTTAATTGATAGTAATTATAGAGTTTCAAACAATAAATGTGAGTTGTCTCAGTTTTTTATAAATAAGAAATCCAGAAATAATCACAAAAAGAAATACAATAGTTAAGATACAAGCCATTATAATCAACGAATGAGCAGGAAGTTAAATTTTGATATTGTACTGTATAAGATATATGTATAGGCTTAAATTAATTTATATTTAATAAGTTTGCAGATTCTGTACAGTTAAAAAATGGTCATGTATATGGTCTAACTCAAAATACCGCAACAAATGAATATATTTTAGTATTTAATGAATTTGGTTCTAGAATATATGAAATTTATGGCAAATGCGCAAATTGCAAGCGATATAACACATATAAAGCTTGGTGTCAAACATGTGACCCTCAGAAGACAACACAAGGATGGACAAGTGGAAACGAGGATGTCGATGATTACATTAAAGAATTATAACTTAAAGCTACAAGATACAAAGATGTAATCGAGTGGATTCCTTTTAAAAAATTAGTTAATATTCAAACTATTGGTGATAAATTTTTAGCAACTTGGTTAGATGGAATACGTTATGTAGATTATAACTTTGATAGACATACACAGTCGCGTATACCATCATATAAAGTGGTGCTTAAAATATTAACTCGATCACAAAATTTATTAGATAATTTAAAAGAAGTAAGTTAAAATATTTGGATGACGCCAAGAGAATCCACGCTTCGGGCTTTTAAATTTATAATTTATCGGGCACAATCCCTAAAAAATCACTTTCCCTAATGGACTTAACAAAGGTTGAGAACACCGAGTCCGGTAAATTATGTAAATTATGAATTTAAAAGCTCGATCTGTGATTTTCCCTGATGACACCCATTTAATCATTTATCATTGTTATACAAGTTTGTATATTATGTACAGTTAAAGAATAAACTTAAAGTATATGGTCTAACTCAAAACACCGCATGAGTATGGTTTTAAAAGAGTTTATCGTGATGAAAATTGCAACCGACATATATAACACATCTAAAGCTTGGTGTCAATCATGTGATCCTCAGAAAATAATGCAAGAATGGACGAGTGTAAATAAGGATGTCGATGATTGTATTAAAGAATTTCAACTTAAAGCCCATCTTATGAAAGTGGATTCCTTTTAATAGATTAGTTAATATTCAAAACATTGGTAAAGGTGGATTTGGCTCTGTGTTTTCGGCAACGTGGTTAGATGGTAAAAGGATAGTTTTAGGTAAATATGGTTTACACATACGATCACGTACGCCATCATGTGTAGTTGCACTTAAAACTTTACCTGGTTCACAAAATAATTTTTAAGAGGAATAAGTTAAAATACTTTATGATCTAATATAGATAAATTATAGATAAATTGATAACGTTATAAAATTTATTTTATTTAACAAGTTCAAAAGTTACACGGAATTTAGATTAATGGGCAATAACCTTAAAGTGTATGGACTAACTCAAGACACAATTGATAATGAATATTTGATGGTATTTCAATATGCAAATAGGGGAAGTCTTCATAGTTTCCTGTCTTCAAATTTTAAAGATCTTAATTGGAAATGCAACTTGTCGATATATCCCAAAATTTAGCCAAAGTTCATGGATCAGAATATGTTCACGGAGATTTTCATAGTGGCAATATACTGCAAAATCAACATATTAATGGAGACCTAATATCTTATATTGCAGTTCTAGGATTATCTAGAAAGAAGGATGATTCTGATTTAGATGATAGTGTTTATGGCGTTTTACCTTACGTTGCGCCAGAAGTATTAAGTAAACAACCATATACGAAAGCTGCTGACATTTATAGTTTTGGTATTATTATGGCTGAGATGTACCTCCTCATTATGACGTTGAGTACAATGAAACGTTAGCTATTCAAATATGTTGTAATAGATTGCGTCCTGAACTTTCTAAAGGCACACCTGAATGCTATACTCAATTAGCAGATAAATGTATGGATGCTAGTCCTCTAATAGACCAATTGCATCTGACATCCATAAAGAATTATCGAGATGGGTACGATATAGTAGTTAAAAATGCAGCAAAAAATAAAATTTAATTGGCAATATTAAAGCATTCCAGTCTGCCGATGCAATGATTCCAACATTGTCAACCAAATTGCCAGGTTGCCCTAAAGATAAATTTACAAGTAAAACTGCTTAACTTTAAAAACCTTTCGGAGCCAATTAATCCTTTATCTGCAGAATTGCGAAAAATTTCTGGTAAATACTTACGCTTAATTTAGTTAAATGCTAAAATTTTTAATTACTTTTTTAATAGAAAACTAGCTAATGTTCTTTAACTATTATATTTGATTGCTTTTTAAATCAATATAAAAGAATCTTGTATTAAGCTTTTATATAAATAATTATGTAAATATCAACCAAGCAACTTTTGAGCATAATTTTGCAAATAGTTTCAAAATACTATTTTCAAAAAAGATACTTCAAAAATTTTTGGTATAAGAGAAAAAAAACATAGATAGTTTAAAAACACAAAATAAAAAAATTTTGTTATGATGAAAATATCAGTTATATTGCAAGATACAAGTGTTAGCTTAGAAGCAAAAATTTTTTTTTTATAAAACATATAAATCATACAATTTATATATAAAGATTTCTTAATTAAATCATTACCCTAAAAATTTTGACATTATACTTGATCGGTATATGCAATTAATTAAAATTAGGTGTTAAACATGCGTTGCACGTTGGGGTGTATACTACAAACATTAATGCAGGTCATATAGTAAATTCTAATAATAAAGATTTTTTATCGATAATGGTAAAATATATAATAAAATTCAAGCTGCAATAACTCACGAACCAGCAAACACACTCAAATAAAATTGCATTTGTCGGGCTCGTTTTAACATGCTCTTTAAAGTAATAACGTCTTTTTTTTTTTTATTTTCATTGTATCGGCAGACTCTCTGGTTTTAGTTTTTCAGTGTTAAGATAAAAATGTCGAATAATTTGTAAGAAAACAAAAACAAGAGCGTTGTTACGTTAAAGAGCATGTTAAAACGAACCCACAAATGTAATTTTATTTGTGTGGGTTTGCTGGTTCAAAAGTTATTGTGACTTGAATTTTACTACGTATATATTTTACTACGTATCACCGTCGTTGATCTACGTATAAAAATTTTTATTATTAGAATTTACTATATGACCTGCATTGTAATTAGACCGATAGTATACACCCAGAGTCGCACGTCGCACGCAAAATAAACAAAGATTTAATAAATTTCTTTATTTTTTGAATAACTTAAACATATATTACATATAATACTACGTAAAATATTTATGCGTCTGTATGCAGAATTTCGTGTTAAACATTTTCACTTAAGAGCCAAAGGACGATTGTCTTAGTAAAATTTGAAAAAAATGTAAATATCTAAGGATTTTATTAAGATAATCGTATTTTAGCTCTTAAGCAAAAACGTTCAGCATAAAATTTTGCATACACTTGTTAGAAAACTAGACCGATTTTCTAATGTTTTCTACGTATACTAACTCTAACCTAAAGAAATTTATAAAATTTTATACAAATTCGTAACATAGAATGTGCTTAAAAATAATTTATAATAACGAATTAATATGAATCAGAAACGATATTTTTGAATAGTTGGCATTTACTACATGTCGCAGAACCAGAGGCAATGCGGAATTGTATAAATTATCAGCTACGTATGATAATGGTAGGAGCAATGTCTGTCAACCGAAGGATTTTTGTTACGTACAGTACATGTCTGATAAACACAGTGAATTCAAAGCTTATGTTTATGAATTTTATTATTTTATAATAATGGAGCACTTTCGGTTGATGAAACAAAGCAACATATAGGATGTATTGAATCATATCGTATTTAATTAAAGGAAACAATAATATTTATTAAGTTGTAAGTAGGAATGGAACTTAAATGGATTGGGAATATTTTTCATTTAGGATAAAATTTGATGACAAGATTAGGATTCGTGTTGAGCTAAATTCCGTTCCCACTTACGCTTACGACATATACCGGTACGCGTTGTTCTCGACATAGTGAACAGTCCATATAAAATCCTTCATATGCAAATTAACTTATAGGCTTGTACAAATTTCTTCACTACGTATGACGAGTGCCAACTGTATTACTTAAATTACAGGATTATGACTAAAGTGTTGCACGGAAATGCGAGGTGCAAGCGTTGTTTATACTCAGTGCAATGGTAATACGTATCTACTAACAATGTGTTTTATGTTAATATGGTTACAAAGTTGTTTTCATTCGTTCCAAATTTGATGAATAATTGTGTAAACAACCATGTGATTTTACAGAGAACGCATGTACGTACATTTGAACAAAATTAAACTTTATATAACAAAAAGTAATTTTGTTCGTATGATATGAATTCATAAGAATGGACCATTTCGGCTGACAGACATTCCATTCTTATAAAAATTCGAAAATATACATTATATCAAAACATATTTACTATATATATAGTAAACTACTATATACTTCAAACAATTTTCTTTGACCTATATAGAAGAATATATGCAATATGCCAATCGCCTATATTAAATGAAATATACAGATTAAATTACAGCTTTTGTCGTGGAAGTAATAAAAATATTTTGCTTCAATACGCACTACCACCGCTACCGTCAAGTTTCTGAATCTCTGTTTGTGGCACGATTGAGACTTTATCATCATCGTATTTGACCCAGTCCTCAGCTGAAAGAGTAGTTCGTCAATGAATAATGCTATAATAGTTACTCTTTTATTTGTAAAGCATTTACCTGAGTCATGCTTACGCGCCCAACCAATGTAATGTCCTAAATTAAACATATACAAAGGGTCAAAAAGTGATGAGTTAAGTATGGATAATGTATAATACTAACCAGAATCTGCTGACCGTCCAATGTGAGTAAGCACAGCACAAAGCTCATATAGTCCTGACGTGTTAGCACCAATATCCTTTGCCAACTCTGGATCAGTCAATTTGTTGATCTCATCATTAATTTCGTTAGTTTTACTGTCGTTTTTAGATTCAGCCGTTTCCTTTTCACCTGAATTCTTTGAGAGCTTTGCTTTACGCTATGAAGCGAAATAATGAGTGTCTATTACATATTTATTTAAAATTGCAAGTAAATATTCAACCTTAGCCACATCCTTTTCTTTTTCGTGCTCAAGAATATATGATCTCAATGGTCCAATCTTTTGCTTTAATTCATCTGTGCATAATTCATATGCGTCGTAATCAAAAGGAAATTGGACTCTACGTGTAATCTTGGTTTTAATTTGACGATTATTCTTCCAAAAGAATCGTACAAATCCAACCGTAAGGTACGAAGGTAGGCGACTAATTCGCGAAGTTCTAGTGTAATTGGCAATATGACCTAAGCTAGGTGAATCTTTTTCAATTTTCTCATCTAATGCCTAATTAAAAAAAATGACAATAGTTTGGAGGAATATAGATTAATTAAATTAAATTAAAATGCTCGAAATCGTACCATTAATATGCCATTTTGCATATAACTTATGTCTAAATTTAAATATTAAATGAGTACAATGCATTTTGCCTAATGATAATAAGTGAAACAATAATTCAAAATACATATGCGCATGTATATGTACCTTTCTCTGAAGTAATACAGCTCAACTTCGTGAAAGTCGAATTATTGGTAGTTGTCGGTTCGTCTGGTGCGTCAACACACTTTAAACTAATAGTAGAATTAATAAATACTGCCAAATATGAAATCGAAAATTAACATTAAACTAGATCAATCCATACATCTCAGTAAATTTTCCCGTCATATACTGTTTAACGAAAGACCCATCTAATGATGACTCTTCTGATGCAGCTGAGCTGTCTTGCAGTCCAGATACCGGAATATTTGCATTATTCAAACTAGTAACAATTTGAGTCCAACATTCTTCAGCATCTTGTTGCAAGTAACCATTAACGTTACGTTGATCAAATTGAGGAAAGGCACTTCTGAGCGCCTATCAATTATATGAAACTTTAAATAATTGTAAATGATTTAACAACTGTGAATATTGGATAATGTGTAGCAAACCTGCACGAAAGCAAACGGTACACAGCTTTCTGTGGTTTGATTCAATTGTTTGTAAAGATCACGCAAAGATGCTGTAAGATTTATTTGCATATCTGGGCTCGTATTACTGTTAGAAAACCTTTGTATATACGTATATATAAAACGGTATAGTAAATTACCCGTCTGTGACAATTCAACTGCGTTTGGGTGACACCAAGGGAAGGCCTGTAAATCAATTTTTTGATTTCATTTTGTCGGACTTAGCCCTTGAAGTTATTATAATATGCGTAATTAAAGCACACGATTACTAGTATTTCTAGTAGTTTCACTAATGATAACGAATTTAATTCATCATATATACATTTCACGTGCCTCCCGATTACCGAATGCTACGTCTTACCATAACGCCTCAGGGGTTGATTCCGGTAAGAATGAAAATTTGAAATTCGGATTTACAGGCTTTCCTTTGACGTCACCCATTTATTTTATATTCGTACACACCTGTTTAGCGATTCTTGTAATTCAGGTATGGTGCGAAGACACTGCAAAGTGGAATTCATGTAACAAGTATTACCCAGATTTTTCAGACCTGATGGTAACTTTAGCTGTTTCCATTTGTATCATAGTTATGTCGAAACAAGAGTTCAGTATGTAATAATCATCAAAATAAGTTATGCCTGGTAAGATATAAATTGACTATCTTACAGTTTCTGCCAGTTGCCTATCTGTCATATCTTCTACGAATCGTGTCTTTTCAACCGGTTCTTTGGGTAATTCTCCAGGCGTTCCCATCATCTAAATATATTAAATTTTCAATAAACTTAAAATGGCGCGAAATAATGATGGATTAGATTAATTGGTATACCATAATTGTAGTCCCCTTTTGCCGCACAAAAAAAAAAAAAAAATGATATCAATATGTGTTAAAATCATCATTCATTAAATTAACCAAACGATAATGAATCCTTACTTCTTTAATATTGAGTGTATTAAGATCGGTATCATCCTATTTTTAAATCGTTAGAATGATCGAATCATTCCAAAAATTCTCGTTTCAAACAA